TCGAGCAAGCAGGAACAGACACCACACCACTCTGATGATGGAAACGAGGAAGTTTCCGAAACGTCAGCACCAATACACTGTGGTCCATGCAATCGCCCCTTTTTCTTCTTCGTCTTCTTTTGGGGATGATGAACGGGATAATTTATCAGGACCTCAAATCTTTACTCATGTTGATATATATATATATATATACATACAGTAGATGGGCTGACTCATGAAATGTCAACCAAAATTCTGAAATGCGTTCTCGGTTCGAAAAGATTAATTTAGTAGAATTGTAAAACTAATCAGCGTGTAGTATAACTCTATCATAATTTAGTTACCTGGGGAATCCGACTTTCGAGTGAACTTCTTTCCGGCTGCATGCAAAAACCATACTCCGTGAAAAATGACCACACCAGGAGCATGCGCTTCTCACTGATTTTCGATCCCCTTAAAAATCCAATTATATTACATAGAAAGCACCCATAAAAACATTCATCCCTTTGATTATTCGATAGACAATTACGTCTTCTTCCAATTTTATTCTCAATGGAAGGGTATAACTCGGTTTTAGAAAGGTTTCTATTTATAGGATTTTTAATACCGTGAAATGGCCGTTCATAAAACGCCAAGTCTCTGCATTTACCGATGTGACTTGTAAAGTTAACAATATGGCTGAAATCCACTGCTAAATTTTCTGAACCCCTATATGGTCGCCTCTTGATACCGTAGTGAAATTTATGGTTTTCCGTGCGCGAAAAACATACAGCGTGTAGTTTGGAAACCCTGAATGCACGTGTAACGATAGGTTGGGTTCAAATTTATTCGGGAATTGGGAAAGTTTTTGAAAACCGAATTGTACCCTTCCTTTGAGTATAAAGCTGGAAGAAAACGTTATTTTCTACCGAATTGGCAAGTAAACGAATATTTTTATGAAAAATCAATTCCAGTATTTCTAAAGGCCAAATCATGCAGAATTCAGGGACTGACCCTCTCCGACTGATGAAGTATGGGTGAAAATGCCCAGTTGGACAATATAACCCCGGCGTCTTTCCGAACGCATTGACATCCGATGGGTGGAGGTCTTTATTCAGCTCAAATTCGGGTACTTATTGTCGTAGCCCATCCGCCTGAATCCTTTGTTTCTCTCGGCTGAAGCCGAAGGCAGCTATCATACACAACTGATATCTGGGCGAATAAAAAGGCTCCCATACACGGACAGACTCAGGGCATCCTTATGTCACTTTGAATTTTTTATGGCAATAAATTGTCTAGATCGTGACAGGTCTCGAACCTCACTTCTTGGAATTTGGAGAGAAGAGGGAGAGACTACGTTACCAGGGACAGCACACGGTGCTAAACATGCGTAGGAGGAAGGGAGAGTTGGTGGAAACATGTGCCTTCTGTTCTTCCCCCTCGTTCTTCCCATTCACAAGGTGATTGTGAGTGTGAGAGGCAGAAAAAGACCGTTTCCTGCCTCCGTGGCATTCTATGTCCGATTTTCCACAAAAACACTGCGCTGACTCACACAGGAAGTCCAACATCTGGAAAAAGTGACACGACAGCCACCGCACCGGCCAACTGCATTCAACTTGACCTGGACGTCTTCTCGGCTTTTGAGAGTCTTTTCTGGACACTTTATGCAACCCTCCCAGGTCAACTTGACGTGCATAACGACGCATGGCAGAATTGAGGAGGCTGAAGAAGTGGCTGTCAGTTTCATCCTGTTTACTTGGCAGAAGTTCACTGAAATGGGGGAGGGGAGGGCTTATCCTGACTAGACCGGCCAGACTTCTAGCAGTCTTTACTGTTATTGCAGCTAGTCCAGATGGCCACTGAAGGAGAGAAAGGAAATCGAAAGGCAACATCATCTTACAAAAAAGGAGGCCGAAGTCAATCAAAATTTGAGCCAAATTTCCTTCCAGTCGAGCACGCACAGAGTGCGTATACATAATTTGAAAAGAAAATCGGACCAGGAAGGAGATACTTTTGGGGATAAAGTCCTTGTAGACAGGGTGTGAAACCAAATCTGGTTAACTACATGGGTTCACTTTTGAACATGTTATAGAGAATATTTTGGGAAGCTATACTGGGTTTCAGAGGCATTGTCCAGTGCTTTCACGCCTGCCGGAACAAACTAAAACACAATGGTTGCAGAAATAAGCCTAGTGGCGTGATATTTATTCGATCATACTGCGAACGTTGAGCCTCCAAATAATACCATCTTTCATCAGAAATCTGGTCACGTTAATGCGCCTCTTGGGAGTGTTTGAAATGTCCTGAATGTTTACAAACGCTCTACATACTCGGTGTTATACTGCCAAGGGGGCCGCATGCGTCTCCTTCATGCTGGAAATTACTTTGAGGGAATCGAACAGCCCAGAGCGAGCAAACGGAGGACGAGATGATGGCCAGTTTATTCACTCCGTATGAGAAGTACTCGGCAGTCTGCTGGTGTGACGTGATTCAGCTCTTTGACAATATTAGCAAAGCATTGGACCATATCTACAGGTGAACTTTTTCTCCTATTATTTCGTCCACTGCCTTACGAACGGTGTCACTACATCTTATAAGAAATCTGTTGTAAAAAACAACCCACGTTAAAAGGGACCTTTTGGGTCTCTGCCTAATGCGACCCTTATAATCGGACCATTCCTAGGCTCTGATGCCTAGCTATCTAAAAGCAAAATAGTAGGACTAGTTAGAGAAGACCTAGTGTTCAATTCGATGGATGAGAGGGATTGCGAGCTATTAATTATTTATTTCATAAACTGCAAAAATATAAGTTTAACGATGAGGGAGGAAGAAGACTTTGTTGACTTTATAAACCATCTGCTTCACAAAGCACTTTTACTGTTTACGAGTTGTTGCCCTTCTGGCTTTCAACCCAGAGCCACCACTCCCACTTGAGTAGACAAAGCCGTCACCTCCCTCTAGTCGTCTAGATTCTCTCATTTCCGCAAAAAGGCCACATGGGCTGTGGGTGGCTCATTTCTAGTCATGCCTCTGCGACACTGACGCATTTGAGATCCCACCCACCCATCCACTCACCCCTTCCCTGGGAAATTTTGGTACGATGAGCGGGGGACAGGCTGTGTGTGGCACGCGCAGACGGGTTGTCTAACTCTGTCAGCCCAACCCCCGCATCAGACGATTGGCCGGAGAAAGAGTGAGGTCAACTCCGGGGTTTCCGTCCCCGTAGAGCTCAGCACATATTCCCCACTATAAATAATCTAACGCGCGGTCAGATATGATTATGTAGCCCCACCTGAAGTGAACAAACTCCACCCACCTGTAATACGGGGCCGGTGGCAGGAGGGGTTTTTACAGGTGGGGCCAGGAAACGCACAGGCAACGAGGTAAAGTAGTTGCATGCAAAGGAAAAGCTATTGCGAATGTGCGGTTGTACTTTTAGTGGTTTAGAAATAGTTGCTGTAACCCCTAATCCCTAACCCCAACAGTACTGTGTCCATCAGGTGGGACTGCATAACCACCTCTTACCGTTTCACCCCCCAGGATGGGGGGAGCGGCTCCAACGGGTCCTTTTTAATGTGGTCTCTATGGCACCCCTACTAGTTTGGGGTCTGGGCCACCCCCCTCTTATTTGTGTAAAAACACGGTCCGCCGTGCGGGAACCAGGCGTGTGCGTGTGTGACATGCTCAGACGGGCTGTCTACTTCTGCCTGCCAATCTCGCCTCCGGTCTTCCTGGGGCTGCCTTGACACTGAGATCAGGTGGGTGAGGGAAGATTGAGTGCAGTAGATGCCGCGCATATATACTATAGCTGATAGTTCGACAGTCGCAACCGACGATGTCCCCGATCGCTGTAAACTGGCTCACGTGCAAGTCGTTGTTCCTATGCCCACCAAGCTGTTCGGTAAGCGGTGGATATCGCCGGTAAGGACGGTCGAACTGTCATCTGAAGATCGTTGTGGAGGCGCGTTTTGAGTAAAGTCGCTGTCAAGCACAGGTTCGCCCATCACAGTAGTCAAATAAAAATTGGCCTACTTTCTTTTTGTTATTGTTAAAATTGGCAAGCTTGGATGCAACTTTATGCTCGCGGCTTTGAAATTTCAATCAATCCGCTCAGATCTAAATCCGTTTTGTGCATCGTGTCTTGAATGGGAAATTTGAGTGATATTGTTGTAGTCTTTAAACCCCAACATTTTTTAAAACAGGCAGTCTCCGTCTAATTATTTCTGACTCTCCTATTCACTGTTCCGCATTATTAAAAATAAATATACTTGAGATCCTTTAGCTAGTATGGTAAATCATGCAGTATGCGCATAATACTGACTGTCTGTTGAAGGTTTATCAATATTACGCGGTTATTCCACTAAGGTTGGTGGATTGCGGCTCAACTATTCATATCAACATTCGGACGGAGCCTAGGAACATTCATCCCGAATAATTCACTCCAAGGTACGCGTTAACTTGTGAGGAGAACTGAAACTTCAGAGGTGGAGTATCCACCAGAAAGAAGACGGAAAACGCTGAGAGACCTTTTGATAACGGAACCCATCGTAGCTGTGTTGTGCAACAACAGGATATCGGCGAAACATGTATCTGAGCTTTCAGCTAGTACCTATGCTGTCAGTATGATAAATCAAGCATCGCGAGTTCGCTGTAGCCTGTTCGCTATTTGCTCCTTCTACTTGACACTTTATTTCATCGAAATCTTCAGTGGTTTGCTGGCAGACTTCTGCAAGGCGGGACAAATCAACACAGCTCCGTTCTTATGACAGAAAATGCTTTTCATTCGACCCAAAAGATTTCCTGCGTGCCAAACCTTCCCAGTATCCTCATTAGTTCACTTTTTTCTCATCAGAAACTTGAAATGTAAGAAAATACGCCACCTTCTTTACCTAATAGCCTTCATAAGAAAGGACGTGTTTATGTTCAGTGGAACTGGATTGTTGTTCGGCGGCTATTTGTTTGCTGAAGACTTGGTTACATCAGACGGTTCGAGTGATGGTCAGGACGGATTTTAAGAAATGGGGCAAATACATCAGTCCGCTAAGAAGGCGGCTGCTGCACCCTCTTCCGGTATATTTCTTTTTAATGAGGACAAGTTTGGTATTCTTATTGTATACGGCCATTGCGTACTAATACGGTAAGATAAACTCTTTAATTGGAGAGCGGCCTAGGGGGATGAAACGTGATAAACTAATTTAAACATGGATTTTTGGTCTGATATGCGAGTGCGCGAATGCGAGGAGGAAGGGAATGCTAAGTTATCTAAGCAAGCCAGTTAAGAATACAGTGAAAACCTGTCGGACGTGATGGAAACTACTATGTGCGGGACAGCAGTTTGACTTGTGTTATCTCCAGACCATAATCGTGCGCAGTTGAATAAGAGGTCACAAAATTATATGACCTCAGTAAATTCTTCATGTTCCATCGCTCCCCGCCCTATTCATATTTATGCGGGGAAAACAGTGCTTCAGTTTTCAATGTAGCTAAAAGTGGGCGCGACGTAGTCAGTTTATAACGCACATTTGGAATGAGTAGCTTTGAACATGGTAAAAATTATGGAACAGGATGCTGGCCACGGATATGACAAATGTTTGTTGTAAACACATCCGGGCTTCAGAGTGGGCGGGAAGTCAGTTAATAGGTATTTTTGTGGAAATAAAAGTAATAATTATTTTTCCAAAGACTGTCTCGAGCGCCCGTTGTCTGAGTCTTTTTGGTTGTCACCAGTTTACGCCCAAGCCAAATGAGAAAAAACTACGATAAATTGAAAGGTTGAGAGACTCCGCGCCGAGGCCTCTTCGTGAGTTTATTTAAACGCTACTTGGAATAAGGTGCAAATCGCTGTTAAGAAAGATAGACATGTTTTCAGTAAAAATTTTGGACTCCTTTAGGCAACTCTTATAGAACAGTGAATTTACTTGCCTGAATACTTTTTTTCTCTCGAGAATTGCATGATTTGTTGACAGTTATGAGGAGGTACAAATCGTGCATTTTTCGGCTGCCCTGATTTGTTTCTACGGAATCAGTTTACGAGGGGGAGATGAAAGCAGGCATACAACACGGCTGTGACCTAAGACTCTACCTTTCACGCGCTGTAAACCTCGAACGCGCAGGCTAAACATTGGTTTTAAACAACTGTGTCCAAAAATACTCACGGTTACTTATTTGTGCATTCCACTTGTGATGCGACTTTTCGACTGACAGCCCTGTTCACGTGTGCAGTCCTCCGGTAGTGCGTACGTGGTCTACCAGAAATTGATGCTATTTTTGGCGGTGTAATGAATCCTAACTGCTTGTTCACCCCTCAGCCTCTAACAGCTTCATCAGAAAACGGTAGCTTTATAGGCACCAAAAATAGACTCACCGACGCATCGCGCGCAATTTCCTCCACGAACTCAAGCTTAGCCTAAAAGCCTTCCGCCCCCTCCCCCCTGTCCGGTTACATGCGCACTTACTGAGGCTTTGGTCCTAAAAAGATTTAATCAACTAAAAGTATGCCACTGCCCGTTCTTCAAAGGACTTCAAGCCGCTTGCCGACATTTTATTTCGGGTACTTCTTTGGGCTAACTTTAGAAATTTTTTTCTGTGTCCTTCATGATGAAAATCCTGATTCGCCGAGCAGTAAAATGCAAATTTCATCCATGTGACTGGTTTTGGGGCGAAGGGTGGTGAGCAAATGCTCACTTACAGAAGAAGAAGAAGATGATGATAATGATGATGACGATGATGATGACGATGATGATGATGATGATGATGATGATGATGATGATGATGATGATGATGAAAGTGTTTGACAGATTTTGCAAAAGGGCTAAACTTGCATGAAAAACCACCGCCTAAACGAGGACAACCGACGTTGTGAGGATAACGGCTGACAGCAGGGATAACGGGCAGCTTAAATTTGTATTTCCAAGATGCAACGTTAGACAACGGATTACTGAGATCAGATCAGCACCAAAAGGCAATTAAACTGTTGGCTTCGCGAGAGAGAGAGCGCGTGCGAGAGAGGAAGCTTTCTGACAATGCAGTTAAAGCCCTTACGTGCGTAGTCGGTAAAAGCATTTAGAACATTCCAACTGCAGTTGCACCGAAAACTTCCTTAAACAGCACCTCAATCGAAATCAACGACCTAAAACAATCTAAATCTCCAGGAGAGGTCAGAAGGATCGGTAAGTATTACAAAGGAGCTCGAATTTCTGCTGGAGTGGAATGGGCGCGCACGTAACTAGACTGGTGTTTCAGGGTAACCTAAGCCCGCCAACTAGAGGTTGAAATCACACAGGCGATCATCTACAAGGTCCCAAAAAGACTAGATTAACAATGTCGGGAGTTGTCTGAAAAGCCATCGAGGACTGAGATGCAGGTACCTCAGACATATCCATGTCCCAGAGCACATAACACATATAATCCCCGATGGGAGTTGTTGCCTTGCCTCACATATGGACTATACATTTAGTGTGTTTATGCGGATCGGGTTACGTCTTGTAACAGCCGATGCTTTCGTCGGACTTGAAACACTTTAAAATGCTACTTATTCATGGTGTTTTTTTCTAGAAAATACCTTTTTGATATTACTTTATCTATTTGTTATATATTCCAGTTATTATTTATCCTATTTGTTTCTGTTTATATCTGAGTAGCTGGCGTATTTGAAGTCAAACGGTATGCTCCGGGGTTGTGGCACCTTTCGAACACAAATGCAGGTTGAGATAGATTGCAAGAGGGACTTTTCACGTGCTAACGTTTGAATCAGTTAGGCATCCACTAGGAATTTGATCCAGCGTTAGATGAAAGGAATTTTTTGTTATCTACGCTCTGCATACCGCGATCAAAAGACTGTCTCCATTGATTTTGGACAAGACGTCATTTCAAGCAGAAAACACGACTGTACAGGTTTTTGAAAGGTGAACTTAAAACTTTCACGTAGGAACCCGTTTATCTATTGCTAAGGTTTATGCAAGTAGAAGTGCCATTGTTTCTTGCTCATAGCCTGTCTCTAATCTAGGTGGCCCGGCGGCTTGACCGTTACATTATCGCTGCGGTGTTCAAACAAAGGCAATCAAAGGGTGAATTGTGACTGAGTAAGTTCCAGATGTCACTGTGAGGTCATCTGTGTGAAACCTACAACTGCATGATTAATAACACCTTCCGTAGGGGCGTCTAGGAGGAATGCTTCAAATGTACACCTAATAACAGACAGCGGAATGAGGAGATCAAGATATGGCGGAACTAGTTACGCCTTGGGAAACGAAAGACTATATTGAATTCAAAGATAACAAGTAGCTAGGCAAAAAAACTGCGAGGTGGCTCGAATTGCAACTTGGATTTTCAATGTCATTTGCTATTAAAGCACAAACATACTTCCAGTCAGTCAGTGTTCAAGGGCACGTGCTTGCGTGTGAGTGAATTCGAAACTCACAAGTGGTAGATTAATTTGTTTGTGGATCCATCCCCCCACACAAGGCATCTTTGAAATGCGTCTTCGGGGCGGGTGGAAATAACTAGGCTTGACCTATCGAACTTCGTCGTCCCATCTAAGGCATTTAGACTCCTACCTGGGCACAACTATACCGGGGCAATGTTGAACTGCCCTCGGATAGCAGGTAGATCAAACTGCGTACAGACGGCGATATTTCCCACGTGGCTAGCACGGAGGTGAACTTGCTAGCAGTCATTTCTAACTTCATTCATTCGGATAGTGGATAATGTGATTCTAGATGCAGACGAAATAGAGAGGTTCGAGAAGTAGTTTAGAAGAAGGAAGTTCGGTCACAGGACTAGGCGCTGACGCCAAGTATCCGCGCTTGAAGTCATAATCTGAACAACGTCAGGAATGAGCGGTGGATGTATACGAAATATAACATTTCCAGGATGCAGTTGGTGCGCTACCAGACGCCTAATACGCCAGCTCGCTCATTCATGGCCGATCTTCGTGCTTGTTGCGACGACTACTTAATCATGCACAGCACCAAACCCTTCAAACTAAGTACGCGCTGGAAATCCTGTAAATCGCCGAACATAGCTTCCACTATACTGGACTACGTCTCAGCTCATCGATAGGCACAGCTTGTGGACGACTGAGTGTTTGCCGACGAAATCCACACCTTTAGCCGTGCGACAAGCTGATCTTTTGCTTTCACCATCAGGACTCGCATGTCAGGGAAGACGATGGATCGACGTTATTTGAATGTTGGCAACAAATACCTTTTTATGACAGTGAAGGAGTCGTGCACATCTTGGGATTAGGATGTCAGTCTGTAGCGTTGGAAGATCATGCACTCCAACCGCTGTAAGATCACATCCGTGAACCCAGAAGTCGCATGAATCCACTAGTGTGTCTTCACCGGTTCACCGGTACTACTGTCAAAGGTGGAGCGCGTCTTGAGGTAGAACAGCAGGTACTGAAGGATTTTGATGGGTCGAGACAATCCTCCGATGGCAGAAATACTTCGCCCGCCCTAACCGCCAGCATACCAGGATTATACAGTAGGTGGGCTAACTCATGAAATGTCAACCGACATTCTGAAATGCGTTTTCGTTTCGAAATGATTAATTAAGCAGGGTTGTAAAACTAATCATCGGTTTTCAGAAACTTTTCAAATTCCTAAATAATGTTGAACTCGGCGTGCCGTTACACTTGCATTCAGGGTTTGCATACCACAAGCCATGTATTTTCCGCGTACGGAAAACCACACATTTCTCTACAGTATTAGGAGCAGACCATATGGGGTTCATTAAATTTAACATTGGATTTGAGCCATATTGTTAAGTTTACAAGGCACATTATTAAATGCAGAGACATGACGTTTTATGAACGGCCATTTCGCAGTATTAAAAAGTCTCACAATTAGAAACTTTTCAAAACAGAATTATGTCCTTCCTTCGAATGTAAAATTGAAAGAAGACGTAATTTTCTACCGAATGAGCGAAAAATGTAAATTTTTATGCATGCTTTCCATGAAATATAATGGGACTTTTAGAGGCATCGAAAATTAATGAGAAAAATACTTGCTACGTAAGTAGTCATTTTTACGGAGTATAGTCTTTGTATGCAGCCGGAAGGAAGTTCGTTTGAAAGCCGGCATCCTGAGGTAACTGAATTATTATAGACTTATACAGCAGGATGATAAGTTTTACAACCCTACTTAATTAATATTTTCGAAACGAAGACGCATTTCGGAATTTCAGTTGACATTTATGAGTTAGCCCACCTACTCTACATGAAGAGTAGCGTGACCTCAAAAATCATCATGCTTTCGTTTGGGACAAAACTTAGCGCCTTAAGTTTTCAGAAATTATGCTGGCCGACTAAGTATGGAGTGGGAAACAGTGGCCAGTGAGTGAGACGCCGAAACGACCACTTTTCCGGTTCGAAATGATACTGTCCTTGGGTGATGCGATGGCTGGATGAAGGCGTCTTCTTTGTGTGTACCGGGGAGGTCATCAGATCAGGTCAAGGTCATTTCTTCAGCTTTCGCCACGCCTCAGTCTGTCGGTCGGCCATGTTGCGGCTTTTCGGCAACGGGGAGTGCGCAGGCGGACAGAGTATTGACAAGGCGTATCGTTAAGTCATTGTTACACCAGTCGTAAGCGTCAGTGGTGAACTCGCGGCCACTAACTACTCGGATGTGGGCGATCAAGTAGTACTCACACCAAGTACGGACATTGGAGGTGACAGCAGAAGCTGCCAGTATTCAGGAGGGAGTGGTGGCGCAGTAACTGCATCCTGCATGCATTTCACTCCCCCCTTCATCCACCAGCTCTCCCTCTCTCTCTCCCCCCTTTTGTCTCGAGTAATGGACTTTAGCGGGGGTTAGGACACGGGAGTATTTTGCCCTTTCCGGAGTTATGCGCAAGTTCACCTTTATTACTTTGTTGGGGCGTTCCTATTTCCATGTTCCGGAATGGCTCCGGATTGGCGTTTATTGGTCAGATCCTGCCTGCGGTTGGCACGGCCCAGTGCTGACTTTAAGTCGAATCATCTTCGTGGTGGGATGCGCAGTCTCATCTTCGAGAAGCCTAGACCCATAATTCGACCCAAACAGATTGCCTTTTCCAAAAGCACACAAGTGCTCAGGCCAGCAGTGACCACTGGTGTAAATTAGGTCGCATTTACGTGGTATTTTTTGCAGCCAGGAAAGCAAAATGTGGTGTTGTGTGTTCTATGCAGGTTGTGGAGTATATTCGACCGCCGACTGTTGGCCCGTTCGCGTAACTCCCACCAAGTCCGGTTAACCTAACTGCTTTATAGCCTGTTTAGGTTAATTCGCCTGAGTTGGCTAACTTCGTACCGTCCGTACGCACAGACGGTGTAAATAAGCAGATTTGGGCTGAAAGATGGTTCTATAGTGTGGCGTGATTAATAAAATTTAAATACTGAACTTACAGCCAAATGTCTCGAGTCGTACAGTCAGAAAGCTAGTATCGAATTAGGCGTGAAGAAGATGGGAGGTTCGAACGAAGGTTGGGGAACAACAGAAGGACATAAGTTTTACAGACAAAAAATGTACAGTAGACAGTAACAGGTGTCGATAAAAGGGACAACACAAGTAGGAACGTACACAGGTCTCCAGCAGAAGAAAACTTCTGTCGTCGAGGTTTTCCTTACTTAATCATCCTAGCCCTCCCCTCCGGGTAACGTGGTCTGTGCCTATTCCCTCACAGAGATCGCCGAAAATAATCAGCTGTGGGCACAAGCACTAGGCAGACGGGTAGGACGCGGTTATAAGTAACCCCCCCCCGGCCCTGCAGGTGGCCTTGTGCTAAATTTCAGGGGTGCTAGTGTTAGGCTTAG